ACACCACGCACCACCAGCACCACCCCACTCGTTACCCATGATGTGTGGGCCCGCTCACCCACACCCGTCACCGTCACCCACCCCATCCACCACCACCACCGAACCGCAGCGCTACCCCACCACCCACCGCCACCTACCACCACCCCACCACACCAGCTACCACCACCCACCGTCACCACTTTCCACCACCGTCTTTCGCGCCACTTGCCACCACTTGCCATTTCTCACTCTTTTTATATTTTTAAATTTTTTAAACATTTTGTCAATTACCAAACGAGCGTTTGTGTTTACGTTTCTAAAAATAAACAAAAACCAGTTTATAAAATTTTTATAAATATAAACTGAAAACGTAAACGTTACCAAATACACCCTAAATATTATTTTAAATAAAGATAATTAAAGATGTCATTGCTCAATACGTAGCAAGCCTAGTAATTATTTTTAAATCAAAAAGTTAACTACCAAGCAAGACATACCTATGAAAATAATGATTATAGCTTTTAAATTTTTTTCATCAAATTAAATTTGGAAATGTTTTATAAACGGTGGTGTTCCATGCACCAATTCTATACTAACTAGTATATCAACACTAGTTATGACATTATTATTGATCCTACTGCATTATACAAATTATAAATAACGCAAAAACTCCTTAAAATTATGTCACATCATCAATTGATACTCCTAATTAATACACAATGGTGCATATAATATTATTCTTTTATAAAAGAAGAGAGAAATAATCAAAAACTTAAATGACATTTAATACTCTTGTTAACAAAGTGTCCTAGGTCATAAGTAAAGCGCAAAATATTTGTAAAACTAATACACTTTTCATTAATGATTTAAAACTCAAATATTACACCCCTTAAGAAAACATGCCATTCTTAGGCTAATGGACAACATTTTACACAATTTTTTTTTAAATAAAGGATTAATGTATCTTATTGAAAGGTGTTTTTGATTTATTTTTTGAAAAAACAGAAACAAATTTGATAATAATAATTTCAAAAAAATTTATTGGCAACAAGAAAATAATTACGTGCCACGTTGGCAATTATGACAACTATTCTTTTTCAGAATTGATTGGGAGCTCTAAAAAATATAGTACTAATAGCCTCTAATATGAGCTGAAAATATAAAAAAAATATAAAATAAAAAAAACAAAAAATAAAATTTGAGAGCTGTATTTTGAAGCTTTAGTAATGTGACAAAGAGTGCGACCCACATGTGATGTGATGTGTATGTCTATATTTTTTATTTTTTTCTTTTTCTTTCTACTTGTACACATCATTAGAGCTCTACTCTATCATTAGTTGAAAAAACTATCATTATTGAAAAAACAACAAACGAGACACCTATCACATCATGAAGAAGAAGCAAATCTATAGTGCTTCTCCTAATGCTCCCCCTTTAATGCTTTCAAGCATTTTTAATTCTTTTTTATTGCCACCCACCCACACTCCCTTTTTTCTTTCGCCTGCGTCTCCACCTTGTTTGCTGGTCAATGGCTTTTGCCCACGTAATGTTCTTGTTTTGTTTTGAAGTGTGTTCGTAGTGTTTCCAACCATCAGGAGCTGTCGGCTTCTTTCCATGGACTTCTCTTGACTTGTCTTTTGCCATAATTTCAGATCTGGTCCAAATCTAAAACCAACAATCACCTATATAAGACATTTTAACGTGTCAATCTACGTTAGGGCGACCACCATTGTCCTATAGGGTCTCAATATATTTTTGTGGTGAAATTGTAAGGTCTAATTTGTTCCTCTATGGTGAAAATTGTGATTTTTTCAAATTGACGGTAGTGACAAAGGACTTCATTGGGAGTTGGGAAGAATTAATAAATGCTAAGTTTTTTTTTTTAAAATCAAAAAATCAGGAAATTTAGAATTGTGGGAGATTGAGGGCTCCCCATGGCCTTGGGGTTAAAAACCCGCTTTTACTTAAATATATAGTATAGATTTTTTAAATTGTGATATATTTAAATTTTAAATTTAAGGTGTCCATTAGTAACACTTACATTTTCAATTTTCGTGTTATATTTAACAAAAATTATAAAAACTTCAATATAAACCTTGTTGGTAAAATTTTTGATTTTATAAATCAGTGCATGTAGTTTATAAAATTGGCCAAAAAATGAAAACACAAAAATGTTGTTTCGCCGTTTTGAGTTTTGAGTTTTTTTTTTTTTTTACGCACCCAACACTAGCCACCACCCTCGCTCACCTATTAGTCGCACCACGTTTTCCGCCACCACCACCTACCTCCCACCACCAGGACCCCCTCACCACCATACCGTGCCACCTACTACGCCACCACCACCCACCCTGGCACCGCCGCCCACCGCCACCACCACCCTACCCACCAGTTATCCACTCGCCAGCCGCCCGCCACCAACCAGCGCGCCACCTACCTTGACCACCACTCCTCACTCCCAACCGAGCCCCCACCTGCCACCCTAGCCACCGCACCCACCACCTACTACCAACCACCACCATACTACCGACCACCACCACCATGACCCACCACCTCAACCTCCATCCGACCACCACTCGCTACCAACCTACTACTCACCACCGTCAACCGCAACCTACACCACACCAACCACCCCGCTACCGAGCTCCGCCACGACTGCCACCACCAACCGACCATCGCCACCACCTACCTGACCATACACCATTCCTACTAACCCGCCACCACGCCACCACACCACCCACCACTCCGCCATCTCACCCACCACATCACACCCACTCGCCACCACCCACCACATCCTGCCCGCCATCTGCGCATCTGCCACGCACCTATCACGCCATCCCACCCACCACACCACTTGCCACCCACCACCCACTCGCTACCACCCATCACCCGTCCAAATCGGACCCACCACCCACCACTTACCACCTTGCCACCACGCATAGTCCCGCACCGCCATCACCACCGCCCCACCACCACCAGCACTACGCACTCGTACCCGTGAGTGGCCGCGCACCACACCGTCACCTGTCACCCACCCATGCCCCACCACCACCAACCGCGCGCATCCTCACCACCCATCCGTCCCACCTACCAACCGGCCACGGCCACCGCCACCACCCCCCCCACTCCGGCCGCACCACCACCAGCTTACCCACGCCACCCACCGTCTACCATTTTCCACCACCGTCTTCCGCCGCCACTTGCCACCACTTGCCATTTCTCACTCTTTTTATATTTTGACATTTTTTTAAACATTTTGTCAATTACCAAACGCGTTTGTAGTTTACGTTTTTCTAAAAATAAACAAAAACCAGTTTATAAAATTTTTATAAATATAAACTGAAAACGTAAACGTTACCAAATACACCCTAAATATTATTTTAAATAAAGATAATTAAAGATGTCATTGCTCAATTACGTAGCAAGCCTAGTAATTATTTTTAATCAAAAAGTTAACTACCAAGCAAGACATACCTATGAAAATAATGATTATAGCTTTTAAATTTTTTTCATCAAATTAAATTTGGAAATGTTTTATAAACGGTGGTGTTACATGCACCAATTACTATATTAACTAGTATATCAACACTAGTCATGACATTATTATTGATCCTACTCATTATACAAATTATAAATACCAAAAACTCATTAAATTATGTTACATCATCAATTGATACCCTAATTAATACACTAATTGGTGCATATAATATTATTCTTTTATAAAAGAAGGAGAAATATCAAAAACTTAAATGACATTTAATACTCTTGTTAACAAATGTCCCTAGGTCATAAGTAAAGCGCAAAATATTTGTAAAACATAATACACTTTTCATTAATGATTTAAACTCAAATATTACACCCCTTAAGAAAACATGCCATTCATTAGGCTAAATGGACAACATTTTACACAAATTTTTAAAATAAAGGATTAATGTATCTTATTGAAAGGTGTTTTGATTTATTTTTTGAAAAAACAGAAACAAATTTGATAATAATAAATTTCAAAAAAATTTATTGCAACAAGAAAATAATTACGTGCCACGTTTGGCAATTATGACAACTATTCTATTTTCAGAATTGATTGGGAGCTCTAAAAAATATAGTACTAATAGCTCTAATGAGCTGAAAATATAAAAAAATATAAAATAAAAAAAAACAAAAAATAAAATTTGAGAGCTGTAATTTTGAAGCTTTAGTAATGTGACAAAGAGTGCGACCCACATGTGATGTGATGTGTATGTCTATATTTTTATTTTTTTCTTTTTCTTTCTATCTTGTCACATCATTAGAGCTCTACTCTATCATTATTGAAAAAACTATCATTATTGAAAAAACAAACAACAGAGACACCTATCACATCATGAAAAGAACATCTCATAGTGCTTCTCCTAATGCTCCCCCTTTAATGCTTTCAAGCATTTTTATTCTTTTTATTGCCACCCAACCCACACTCCCTTTTTTCTTTCGCCTGCGTCTCCACCTTGTCTTGCTGGTCAATGGCTTTTCCACGTAATTTCTTGTTTTTGAAGTGTGTTCGTGTGTTTCCCAACCATCAGGAGCTGTCGGCATTCTTTCCATGGACTTCTCTTGACTTGTCTTTGCCATAACTTTCAGATCTGGTCCAAATCTACAACAAATCACCTATATAAGACATTTTAACGTGTCAATCTACGTTAGGCGACCACCATTGTCCTATAGGGTCTCATATATTCTTTTGTGGTGAAATTGTAAGGTCTAATTTGTTCCTCTATGGTGAAAATTGTGATTTTTTCAAATTGACGGTAGTGACAAAGGACTTCAGAGGTTATGATGATATTTTGGTTGGTGTGTTTGTTTTATTTGTCTTTGTGTGTCTTATTTGTTATTTGGTCATGTCCATCAAAACAAAAAAAGTAAGTTAATAGAGTTAGATGACTGCTTCATATTAGGTTCCACGGCCCATTTTATACAACTACTTGATCATGCTTGAATTCTCCGAGAAATTATTCATTGCTTTGGAGCAATACTCCACTAAAAAAGCCAAATTTCCAAACGGGCACTGATTAATCCAAATCACATAATAGTGGCGTACTGATTTCTGAAGAGGATGATGGAAAATGACGACTTTACCATTAGATTTAGCCCCCCAACAACAACATACAAGAGGTTAAAGAATGCCATTCTCCTGGAAACTTACATGAACTGAAAGCCTCTCACAAGTAAAAGAAAGAAAAGAACTGAACATCAATAGGGCTTAGGGAAGGTCTCCTTCAGGAAGTTCCCAGTTATCTTCGACCTCTTCTAACGTCTTGCTCTTGGTGGCTTCCTGCTTTTCTTGTGGCGTACCTCTAAACTGGGTGCGTCTAAAATAAAATAAAATACAGATGGTCAGTAAATAATAATCTCTAAAAGAAGCAAAACTAGAACAAGGTGATTGGGGCTAGTTTCAAATGTTGGTTTTGTTTTTTCGAGCTTTTAAGAGTCTTGTCCATCTTTGGTTATGAGTTGGGCTAGCCTCTTGGCCTTGTGAGTGGCATTATTTCTAGGCTAGATTAGTAGGGTTGTAAACAAGCCAAGCCGAGTCGAGTACTAAATTGTTCAAGCTTGACTAGAAAACTTAACAAATTTCAAAATGTGTTCAAGTTTGGTTTGTTTATATAATGAGCCAATCTTGAACGAGTTTTTAACGAGCCGAGTAGAGCTCAAGTAATTTAATTTTTTATAGTGTATATAAACTTATAGAGTCCAGTAGTAGGTTGCTCAATGTACCTAACCTTGTTTTTATATAAATTTATCGAGTCAAGATATATCTAAAAAGTAAAAAAATTATTTAAAATATTAACAAAAATTAAATAAAAACAAAAAATTCAACTTTCAGAAAATTGAAACCAAACAAGGAGTGATCTTTAAAATGTGTTCAAGTTTGGCTTATTTACATAATGAGCCAATCTTGAATAAGCTTTTAACGAGTCAAACATGAGTCGAGTTTGACTAATTGAATTTTGAGTTGTCTCATTTGTAAGGTAGTCAAGTTTTTTACTGTGTCAGTAAGGCTAATTTTAAGCTCATTAAGTTTTTTACGTCAAATTTGAATAACCTATTCCTCAGCTCAATAAGCTTATATCCACTATAAAAAATCAAGCTACTTGAGCTTAACTCATTACAAACTCGTTTGAGATCAGCTCGTTATATAAATAAAACACATTCTGAAACTCATTAAGTTTTCAAACCAAGTTTTGAACAATCTCCACAATCCTAATTTCTTGTATTTTATTTTGGGGATAAGCTATTTATTGAACAAAAAGTAAAATTCCATAGGACGGGCCGTAGAATTACCCAAAACACACACTATGAGCCCCAAAAGCATCATATTGCAAAGGATAAAACTTGCACATTTTTACCAACCTAAGGAATTATGCAAAACCCTATAAGATGCATATTGGTACAAACTGAGAGACCTGAAGTACAAGTTTGTTTGACTAGAAATTAAGTGGATGTTTGGATATTCAATCATTCCATGGAACTCAAATCTCCCCTTTCAATCTCACACATCAAAAGTTTAGACACACGTACACATTGCAATCAACATCCACATGTTTGTCAAATATATATGCAACTACACAGAGGATCAACCAAATGAGTTGTTGTACCAGTAAAACTTGTTTCTTGCTAAGAAACAAGACCCCAAAACCAAAACTTTTTATGACTTTCATCCCCTAAACTATTGTTATGTCTTCTATTTCCCTTCCTAAATTATCAATTTCTTCTTATTAGTCCTTAAAATTCCTGATTTAAGCTAATGTACTCCCAAATTAATAATAGTAGTTGAATTGAAGTTCTAAATTGAAGGGTAAAAAGATGATTTCAAAAATTAAACAATTTATATCATGCAATCGAGCACTCATTTTTCTTACTCAACCAAAAGAAGATGAACATAGATGTTTAGTTGTGCGGTATAACTTCTCTAATATAGTGTACGTAACATGATTGGTGTTTTGTTTGTATAATTTAAGAGTGCTGATATTTACCCCACCTATTTTCTTAGGAATCTCCATTTGTTTAGACCTCACCACCCAAATTGTTCCCCTCTCTCCCTCTCTTTTGATCCCTACCATAATTCCCAAAATATCCATTTCTTTGAACCCCACTCCCATCACAACTTTTCCACTGGCAAACCCCTTCTCCTGCCACCCCACCACCACCTTTGGTGGACCTCCCAAACCCCCTTTCACACCTCTACGGTCACCTAGCAACCTCTCTTCTTCACCCTAGCAACTTGTTTATTATTATTATTTTTTTCCTGTGTTTGAATGTTGTTAGGATATTACATTTTTGTCCCATTAAATTAGGCTTGTACTTTCATATCATAACCATTTTAAACAAAATAAAAAACCTCATGAATACACAAATAGAATTGATAATTCAGACCTTTTTGGGCAGAGGATCTATTTTGGGTCACATCATTTTTTTATTTATTTTTTTTAAAAAAAAATAAAAAACTAAAAAAAGCTAACTTTTAACCAATTTCTCAAAACAATCATTAATAATAAAATAGAAAAAATAACAATAATTTGGAAAATTCTATTTCCACACACCTACTTACCTCAATGCACACACTTGATGAAACTTCATTTTAATGACAATAATACTCTGAAATAAATGACCATAATGGACATCAAAATCTTAACCAACTCATTCTCATCTTGCCAAAACCACACCATTCAAGCAAGCCTCAAAGAACAGTAGGTTATGGATGTTGCAAAAATCTCCATCATTTTCAGGGATTGGTCCACCGAACAAATCCAAATCGAAGGGCGATCTTTTCGTAACACGAAAACAAATTTTGTTAACATTGTTGTACACTTTTTCTCACTTAGATTTTCCTTTCACCTTCTTCATCTCTTCTCTGCAACTTTTTAGGTTATTTTTACTGCTGAAAAAGTGTGAAACAGTGACATTGTTCAACCAAAACTGTGGTATGTTGGTCTCCATAGCATAGTAGGTTATGGATATCAACAATCTTATACTAGCAAAGTCACTGTAATTAATTTGGCCCAGTTTCATGATGATGATGGTAAAGAAATGGAAAGCTCTTAGCTTATGATCTCAGAAGCCATAAATTTTGGTCCAAAGATAGGGAAAATTAGGGCTATGGATGTTAAAAAAAATACAGATTCGTAGATGGAAGTTAAATTGGGTGTGTGTTTGGGTGAAAAGTGTGGGTACAGTATTTAAATTAAGGGATATAATTGGAATATGTGGTGGGTGAAATGAGACAAATAATACTAATCAAATTCTACATTGAAAAATTATGTGCACTGAGCTACGTCCCTGTGTAAATAGAATTTCCCCAATAATTTAGGGAAGAAGATTGAAATGAATCAATTTTTTAATGAGACAATACCTAATCAAATTCATATGTGTACATTGAAAAATTATGTGCACATGTGTGTGGAAATAGAATTTTCCCAATAATTTAGGGAAGAAGATTGAAATGAACCAATTTTTTTTAATCAAAACAGAAACAATCTACTAGAGACAAACAGCAACAAAAAACCATAAAAGATCCGAGAGAGAGAGAGAGAGAGAGTAATATAACCTTCGACGATTTCGCTTGGCGGCCTCACGGGTCTTGCGCTTCTTCTCGTCCTGCTTGTTCTCAAAGAACCTCCTTCGCTTACATTCTTGGATGACGCCAGCCCTCATGACCTCTCTTCGAAACCGATTGAGAAGCTTCTCTTCGGGCTCGTTATCGTCGACGATGACCTGAACGTTGTAACCCGATCTGAAGAAGAGCGTGTTGGCATAGGCCAGAGAAGGGCACATCACGGAAGTGAGATCACTGGAGGGAACTATAGGAACCAACACATCTCTGTTTCTCGACGAAGAAGAAGAAGAAGACAGAGAGGGGAGAGAATCGGAGGAGAGAGAAAGGTGGGGGAGTGGTGTTTTAGGCGGTGGTGGTTTGGAGGGTGCGAAGAAGGAGAGGAAATTGGCGAGAGGTGAGGAAGCCATGGATAGATTTGATTCTGGGTTGGAGGAGTCTGTTTGGCTGAGGATAAAAGTGAGAATGAGCTGTGTATGGGTCGGATCTTCGGATCTGTCCGAGATGGTGATGGGTCATATTTCTGTACCTCTTTTCTCTCCTGAAAGGCTTCACAAAAATCCTCGTTAGGGCCTAGGCCCAATTGTTGCATGTGCTGTTACCAACAAAACGATGCCCTTTTTACACTATTTGAAGATTGAGTTTTTTATTTTTTATATATTTTTATTTTTAATGAATATTTTTGAATTTTAAATAATTTTTTATTTTTTAGATGCACATTATTTAAATGTATTCAAAAAGAAAAATATTTATAATTTTTTTTAAAAAAATCAATAAATATATAATAATATGAAAATGTATTGAATTTTTATATTTTTCTATATTTTTGGTATTTAGTAATTTTTTAAAAAAAAAATTCACAAATATTATACTTTTTAAGTGTATTTATGTCAGGTGTATCTAAAGATTAAAGCAAATTGCTTAAAATATTAAAAAAAATTATGTGAAAACAAAAAAAAATACGAAAAATAAAAAATTCTAATTTTCTAATAAATGAATTCAAAAGATTGAAACCACACAAGGTTAACCCCCAAAAATTTGAAGAATTTGATAGGATTTTCAAACTCTCTTTGAAATTTTTCAAAATTTTATTGGGTGGTGAAAGAAAAGAAAAAAAAAATCAATTTTCATATGATTTTTTTTTTTTTATATTATAATTTTTAAGTGTATTTATGTTAAGTATATCTAAATATTAAAGCAAATTGCTTAAAATATTAAAAAAAATTATGTGAAAACAAAAAAAAAAATACGAAAAATAAAAAATTCTAATTTTCTAATAAATGAATTCAAAAGATTGAAACCACACAAGGTTAACTCCCAAAAATTTGAAGAATTTGATAGGATTTTCAAACTCTCTTTGAAATTTTTCAAAATTTTATTGGGTGGTGAAAGAAAAGAAAAAAAAAATCAATTTTCATATGATTTTTTTTTTTTTTTTGGAGTAGAAATAGCTTTGGAAATTAAAAAATATTTTTCTATATTATTTTTGTCAAACAAATTTCTTATTTTTCAAATAAATTACAGAAAACATGCTCTGAGATCTCAACTAAACAAAGCACATAAGTAATAGGGTTTTTATTTTTAAAGTGATAGATCTAAATTTATGTCACATTTTTTGTATATAATTTTTGTAAATTATTACTCTTACCAAAATCAACATCCTTGATTTATCTAAAAAAACCCATTATCCCAAAAATACTAAAATTAAAAAAGAAAAAGAAAAAGTAGCATAAAAAAATTGAGTGTTTCTTTACCTTTTTGATAATTGATGGATTCTAATTTTTCACACAAGATAATTAATTAGAATTAGTCCAATTAGTCAAAAACTATACACTTCATTGAGAGGTCAAAATGAAATTGTAAAATAAAATCTAACAAGTTTGAGAAGGGGAATGAATAGTCAGTTTGATCCTCCAAAATTAATGAAGTGTTTTGAAAAGATAGTTAAAAGTTAATTTTTTTAATTTTTTTTTTGACTTTTTAATTTTTTTTTTTGTGAGAGAGGAAATGGATTAAAAGTTTGGAAGTGACTTTTAATCCACTTTTCAAAATAGGCTAATATTTTCAAAATATAAAATGTTATGAACCCCAAATAAATTACTAAATTTTCTACCAAACCTCTCACATATGTGTGAGTCTTACACTTATATGAGAGGTTTGATAAAAAATTTGATAATTTATTTAGAATATTTCTATGAGGGGCAGAAATAGAAATTAAAACATATTGGTTAAAGTTGGTTTTCACATCACATGTAATTTCCATGCTACGCATCCATGATTGATCTATGTCATTTAGCTGTATTAGTATACGTGACCATTGGTGGGTCGAGTTACGATTGATGTAACGAAGACCGTTTTGATCCTATATTACTATAGTTAATGGACAAGATTGTTTGGATACCCTCAAGTTATGATAACAAATTTCTGAGCTCACTAAAGTTAAGTACATTTTTCAGGATACATATGTGGTCCAGTGGGAGATTGTTAGATAATGTCTCAATGGGACCACATAATTAAATGTGGTGTTATCATTTATAAGAAGCCTACAATTTAAGTGATTCAATTTAGTTAATAGGCTTAAAGGTATATGTGTTATGGACCTAATGTGTAGATACTAGCTAGTTGTATAATTTCTATTTCTATGAGGGGCAGAAATAGAAATTAAAACATATTGGTTAAAATTGGTTTTCATTCCTTTTGAACTTCCACAACCTTTCAGTTTTGAAAACCAATAAATAGAAATTAAAACCAATAATGGTTAAAGTTGGTTTTCATTCCTTTTAAACTTCCACAACCTTTCAGTTTTGAAAACCAATAAATAGAAATTAAAACCAATAATGGTTAAAGTTGGTTTTCATTCCTTTTAAACTTCCACAACCTTTCAGTTTTGAAAACCAATAAATAGAAATTAAAACCAATAATGGTTAAAGTTGGTTTTCATTCCTTTTAAACTTCCACAACCTTTCAGTTTTGAAAACCAATAAATAGAAATTAAAACCAATAATGGTTAAAGTTGGTTTTCATTCCATTTTATGGTTTCTTTATCATTTTCATGTATATTTCAGGCTTTTAGTTTATAGTCTCAAACAAAATTATCTAACTCAATATTAGTCCAACTTAAACTTTAAACAATTATGAAATTTATATGATCTGCTAATGCAATGCTTGATTTTACCTTTATCAAGAATAAGTGTGTCGTCTTTGAATCAATTGGACTTGCTCTAGTCTTGAGCTTCACTCTTCAGTCTTAAATTCTTTAATTATGGAAGAAAAATGTTTGAGGGCCACAAAATCAGTGGCTCAAATGGCTCAAAATTGCCAAAACGACGTCGTTTTGCGTCATTTTGCGCCCAAAACGACGTCGTTTTGGCAGTTTTAAGCCATTTGAGCCACTGATTTTGTGGCCCTCTACCATTGCTGTTATTATATGTATAATAGTTTGAGTGTTATTACTTTGTGAGCCTGTCAATGTACTTTGGTATTATGTATAGCCTATGAAGGCACCAAAGGGAAAGGATTAGAAGGCTCTAACAAAGTCAATATTAAGGTTTTATTAACAATCAGACGCTTCCGTTTAACCGTTCATCAATGGATTCAGGTATGTCATTTTGTCTTGATTTCTTGATAATACACATGGTAAATGATCCAAAATGTAAGGTTTATGTTCTGAAATTTATGTTACAGTGTTTTGAAAAGATAGTTAAAAGTTAATTTTTTTAATTTTTTTTTGACTTTTTAATTTTTTTTTGTGAGAGAGGAAATTGATTAAAAGTTTGGAACTGACTTTTAATCCACTTTTCAAAATAGGCTAATATTCTCAAAATATAAAATGTTATGAACCCCAAATAAATTACTAAATTTTCTACCAAACCTCTCACATATGTGTGAGTCTTACACTTATATGAGAGGTTTGATAAAAAATTTGATAATTTATTTAGAATTCCTAACATAACTCTTTCAAAATTAGTCAAGTGATTAATTGGATGCTAATCTATTCAATTATTTAACAATATCAATCAATTTGTCAATTAAACAATTAAACCATCAATGAAAGGCATATTTCATGAAGAAGTCTTGCAGTCCCCTATGAATACGTGTAAAGAATCAAAAGCATGGTCACTGCCTTTTCTTATATCAAGTTATTGAGACTTTCCATGACAACTGGACACCATAGAAAATGACAGTTTTAGGTGAACAAGGCCCTTATTTCGGATTACTTTAATTAACCCTCTCCATGCCCAATAAGGATCTAGTGCTAAAAATTGTAAAAACAACTAACAAAATTAAAGAACTAGTGGGCTAGTGGTATATATATTGAGGTAATTAGAATTATATAAATATACTTTTCTTTTTAAAATTAAAATTGATGAATACGATTTATCCATCTATTGTTTAATAGGATAAAAATGTCTAATACAAACATTTAGTTTACATGATTATGATGGTGAAACTTGTGGGGGTAATTATTATTCACTAATTTCAAAATATGAACACGTAATATTTCATAATATTATAATTAATGGAGAAGGTGGATAAGTGAGATATTGTGTTGGATGATTAAGAAAATGAGGAAGCATATTGAATGATGATTAGTTATGATGATATTCCGAAATTATTAAATAATTTTCCGAAACTTGTGTTAGTCCAAAGATTAAAGGCAAATCCACCACATTAATTGGAGAGATAACACATAAGCTTTAAATAAATAATGTTTATGGGGGCTAAGGAAAACTAAAATATAAAAACTTATCCAATGAACTACTTTTCTAGGATTACAGCGTGTCATTTTCTTTGTGATTGGTTGTGATTAAATTAATCCTAGTGGATGTTAATTAATTCTATGATATTAGTCTAGATTAATACTATGGGAATATGACAGGTGCGATGACCCCATAACGAGTTCTATTAATGTATGATATTGGGCCAATCATCCATCTTATTCACTTCTTCATCTATTTCGATCAGATCCCACTTTGTGAGCTATCCATTTTCCACATATAACCCAAATATCACTGTCATTTGTTTTCCTAGCTTTCATTGCTCTAAACTAATTTGAATTTTTTTCTTTACAAAGTAAGAAGCTATATAAACATAAATTTGCTTTTAAGTAAACTAGCATATCACCCGTATTATGCACGGATTGTGTTTATAATTATCTATATATGTGAATCGTGATTTTTAAATATATATATATTTTTTTAAATGTTCATTAAATGTCTTTTTTTTATTATATTATATTAAAGTTTAATATTTTGATAATAATCATATGTGTTGGACTTTTCAAGAATTTTTTTTTATGTTTGTTCTTAATGCATTAAAGTGTTATTATGAGGGATAATAATCATATGTGTTAGGACTTTTCATAGAATTCATATGTATTGGATTTCAAATATTTTTTTTTTCTTAATGCATTAAAGTGTTATAATGAGGTAAGACTTG